TCCTTAATTTTTTTCTCACCCCTTGAAGGTCACGAAACAAGCAATAAAAAGTGCGGGAATCCGAGTGTTTATAAATAACAAAAACAATATTACACGCTGGGGGGGGTGTTAAAAGTCGCCTCATAGTAGTGATGAGACACCACGTCTGAGGGTCTCACTAAATACACACAATAAAAAAGAGCGGGAAACCCTCAAAAAGTTGTGAGGTGATGGATTTATTTCATTTATTTTATTTTTTATTTTGGTATCGCGCTGTGAGCCACGACCCAGCGTCGCTTTCGTGAGGGCGAAACTTTCATCAGCCTCATGGGGTCCACAACATTTTACTTTGATTGGAAATACGACGTTTTACACCACCCCCTCCCATCCCCAGCGATTCGATTGCTGTGCAGTGTTTGGAATGTGCTAGGAGATGTTAACTACCTCCCCTGTTATCATCACGGTGACTAGGAGATGTTAACTACCTCGCCTGTTGTCATCACGGTGACTAGGAGATGTTAACTACCTCGCCTATTATCATCACGGTGACTAGGAGATGTTAACTACCTCGCCTGTTATCACGGTGACTAGGAGGTGTTAACTACCTCGCCTGTTGTCACGGTGACTAGGAGATGTTAACTACCTCGTCTGTCATCACGGTGACTAGGAGATGTTAACTATCTCGCCTGTTATCATCACGGTGACTAGGAGATGTTAACTACCTCGCCTGTTATCATCACGGTGACTAGGAGATGTTAACTACCTCGCCTGTCGTCATCACGGTGACTAGGAGATGTTAACTACCTCGCCTGTCATCATCACGGTGACTAGGAGATGTTAACTACCTCGCCTGTTGTCATCAAGATGACTAGGAGATGTTAACTACCTCGCCTGTCATCACGGTGACTAGGAGATGTTAACTACCTCGCCTGTCATCATCACGGTGACTAGGAGATGTTAACTACCTCGCCTGTTATCATCACGGTGACTAGGAGATGTTAACTACCTCGCCTGTCATCATCACGGTGACTAGGAGATGTTAACTACCTCGCCTGTCATCATCACGGTGACTAGGAGATGTTAACTACCTCGCCTGTCATCATCACGTGACTAGGAGATGTTAACTACCTCGCCTGTCATCATCACGGTGACTAGGAGATGTTAACTACCTCGCCTGTCATCATCACGGTGACTAGGAGATGTTAACTACCTCGCCTGTCATCATCACGGTGACTAGGAGATGTTAACTACCTCGCCTGTCATCATCACGGTGACTAGGAGATGTTAACTACCTCGCCTGTTATCATCACGGTGACTAGGAGATGTTAACTACCTCGCCTGTATCATCACGGTGACTAGGAGATGTTAACTACCTCGCCTGTTATCATCACGGTGACTAGGAGATGTTAACTACCTCGCCTGTCATCATCACGGTGACTAGGAGATGTTAACTACCTCGCCTGTCGTCATCACGGTGACTAGGAGATGTTAACTACCTCGCCTGTTATCATCACGGTGACTAGGAGATGTTAACTACCTCGCCTGTTATCATCACGGTGACTAGGAGATGTTAACTACCTCGCCTGTTATCATCACGGTGACTAGGAGATGTTAACTACCTCGCCTGTTATCACGGTGACTAGGAGATGTTAACTACCTCGCCTGTCATCATCACGGTGACTAGGAGATGTTAACTACCTCGCCTGTCGTCATCACGGTGACTAGGAGATGTTAACTACCTCGCCTGTTATCATCACGGTGACTAGGAGATGTTAACTACCTCGCCTGTTATCATCACGGTGACTAGGAGATGTTAACTACCTCGCCTGTCATCACGGTGACTAGGAGATGTTAACTACCTCGCCTGTTGTCATCAAGGTGACTAGGAGATGTTAACTACCTCGCCTGTTATCATCACGGTGACTAGGAGATGTTAACTACCTCGCCTGTTATCATCACGGTGACTAGGAGATGTTAACTACCTTGCCTGTCATCAAGGTGACTAGAGATGTTAACTACCTCGCCTGTTATCATCATGGTGACTAGGAGATGTTAACTACCTCGCCTGTTATCATCACGGTGACTAGATGTTAACATCCTCGCCTGGCCTACAGGAGATCGTCGGTTCGCGCCCAGGCCCTGACCACGCTTGCTCCTGCTGCTGTATATTTGGAGTCTGCGTCTCTCTCCCCATGTTGATTGTGTGGATTTGTCTCAGGGTCCTCCGATTTTTCCCGATACGGGGCCATCCATTTAGTTCGTTGTCATGGAGGGGGATACCCAAAATGCGTACGCTTGCATATGGGGGGTCTACTCACAATGTACGCATAGGAAATGGGGGGGGGGGGGTTGAAGCCTCGATAATAATGCAGCCGGCGGTGGACTATCTGTTTGCTTAAACACGTTAATATTAATAATTGATCGTTTCTGCGTGGATTACATATCGGCCGTTCTACAGGATTCTAGGGGGTGGGGGGGGGGTGATGCGTCAGGCGAACGTACGTAGGCAGGTGGGGGGGGGGGGGGGGTGTAAAAAGTCCGCGTGCGTACGGGGTCAGGTTTTGACAGATTTTTGCGTACGCACGAAAGGCATGGCCCCTACACATTTAGATACTGTACAGCACTCTACACGGAGTGATCCCAGCTGTCCGGCAATGGTTTGTGTGATCATTCTCTGTACTACAGAGTGGCATGTGTGTCATCTCCATTGGTTTCCTCCGAGTTTCCCTCCCATAGCTAAACCCACAAACACAGTGGAACTGGTACTTGCCAGAACCACATCCCAAAGCTAAAAGATTACCTGGAAATGGCTCAGTGGGAGGGATCACAGCAACATCGCCCCTCTTGTGCAAACTTGGCAGGACCCCTCCTGAAGAAGAGTTGAGACTCAGTGGGGCTTTCCTGAGCAACAGGCGTATTCATACATTAACAATACGGATGAATACAGACGGCACATTGAGTGTGGCATGCAGTCATTATCCTCTGCCATTGTCAATCGACTTCTGGAACGAAGGCCTCCCCAATTCATCCCAATCTCAAGTGGTGAGGACTCAACACAGCCAGTCAGCCACTGACAAGCTCACTCACCCATTAACTCACTCACCCACCACACTGCAGGTCACAGCAGCACATTCGCGCAGCTAGTCAGCCACTGACAAGCTCCCTCACCCACTAACTCACTCATCCAACCACCCACTCATCACATTGAAGGTTACGACAGCACGCTAAGCCAGCCAGCCACTGACAGGCTCACTCACCCACTAATTCACTTGCACCCACTCACCAAACTGCAAGCACAACAAGACACTCACTGAGCCAACCAGCCACTGACTAGTTCACTCACTCACCCACGCACGCATCCACTTACCCACTCACCACATTGCAGGTCACGACAGCACACTAAAGCCAGTCGGCCACTCACAGGCTCACTCACCCACTAACTCACCCACCCACTCACCAAACTGCAGGCACAACAAGACACTCACTGAACCAGTCAGCCACTGACAAGTTCACTCACCCAGAAACCCATCCACTCACCCCACCACCCTGCAGGTCACAACACACTCACCCTCGCAGAGGTTTTTGGGCAAGCGTTGCGCACTTTCAGATGCGCTTCTGCGTCCGTCTGGAACCATTTTCCTTCCGCTATTAGGAATCCACTGAAACTGTGCATTTTAAAATCATCTAGATTGAAGACTAATTTCTTTTGCACTGGTCTTTGTGTTTTGTTTCTTGTCCTCTACCCGTACCTCCGATTAGCAAGGTTCGCTCTGTACGGTGTGAAATAAGTTCAACGTGCATACACCCAGCCCATCAGCCACTTACAAGTTCGCTCACTCACCCACAAACTCATCCACCCACTCACCAAACCGCAGGTCAGAACACTCCCCCTGCTCAGCAATTTATCCTCTAAAACCGTCGCTCTCCCAACTGATTTCTGTTTGCTTCGCCATCGTACTGTACCTCACTTGCTTCCGTCATTACGCTGACCAAGATCTCTCGCCGCCCTTAACGAACGAGACCGCACCCCGGTGCTCTCTCTGGAGCTCTGAGCCGGTCAATAAACGGCAGGAGCTCGCAAAAAAAAAAACGCGAACGCATTTCGCGCACTCCATGCGAAAACGTGTTTCACCCGCGATTCGTTTCCCTCCACCAGAACGGCGGCGACTGGGAACAGGAGAACTGGCGACCCCCCGGGGCCAGTGGTCAGGCGGGGAGGAAATGTCGGCGCACGAACAAATTCTGGTGTGCAACTTGAGGAAGTGCCGGCGCATTGTCGGCGACTTCGCCTGGGTCACCTCCTGCTCGCATCTCTTTTGCGACGAGGACGGCGAACGCGAGTTCAAGACGGGGGCGGCCGCCTGCCCGGCGTGCGGCGCCTTGCCGCGCGGCAGCCTGGAGGTGGTGCGGGTCTGCTTGAACCCCCCCGAGGAGCACAAGTCCATGGTGCTGGCGGGCCTAGGGCCGGACGTCATCCAGGAGATATGTTCGCGGGCGCTTTCATTCTGGATCTTTCAGGTATCGGCGACGGATCGGTGACTTTTTAAAATAAAAATAAATTTATTTTTAAAAAGTAACAAACTGAAATGTTTTATATTTTAGCGGATTAAAGTCCCACTGAGCTACGTAACCTCTTTTTTATGCAGAAGCGACCTGGCCATCACGAATGATAGCCCAACCCAAGCGGCTGTTATCATCACGTGGAAATTTACAGCAGTCAAATACTCTAAAACGCGTTAGATGTCGTTTCTAAACATTGGGAGGGAAAAATCAGAGGACCTGGAGAAAATCCACACGGCCACTGGGAGAACGTGCAAACTCCAAACATAAGTAGTGACTAACTCGGAGACAAAAAGACTTGGAGGCATTTCTTTATTTAGCGAGCACCATTGGGAATGACGCAGTTAATATTTAGTCCGTCTATTATCGGTGGCACTACTTAGAACATGTACAGCGTTTAAGATGTCACTCTTGAATTAATTTGCGTGATTTATGAATATTTTTCTCCTGCTGGGTTCTTTCGGTAAAGTCACGTAGAATGGAGATAAAATAATAAAAATAATAACAGAATTTATTATGTTATTATTATTTTAATTTTTATTACAGAATAAATTCTGTTTTATTTTTTATCTCAATTCTACGTGGTGACTTTACCGAAAGAACCAGAAGATGAATCCCTGCAGTCACGAAAGCTTTAAATTGAAAATTATGAATATTTGTTTTTTCATTCTTTCGATTTTTTTTTTGGAGCTTCGTCATTCCCAGAGGCCTTCGCTAACCGAGTTATTCTTCTACACGTAAGTCCCCTTGCGCGTACGGCTCTTTAACCGATAAAAAATACGTTTAATCAAATTTTCCATCTCGCAGGTGCACCAGGAGAGACTGTATCAGGAACACTTGGCCGTGAAATCAAAGAGGCTCAGGGTGCAGTCTGAGGACCGCTTCAAGCAGGAGATCCAGAACAAGGTCACGGAGGTCGCCACTCTGAAGCGGCAGTTCTCGCTTGCCAAGAGCGAGCTGGCCAAGTTCAAGAAGAGGTACAACGAGGCTGCCGAGAAACTGCTGGAGAGGGACCGGGAGCAGAAGAAACTGCAGGTCTCCTACGATCGCCTCCCGCCTGCGATTCTCCGCTATCGACGAGGGGAGATGCGCTGAGGAGGAGGAGGCTCTGAACGGCGCGGCGTCCTCGCCATTCATAGTGAGATTCGGTAGGGCCGTTTGAACTTTAGTAATAGGTTTTTACCCTTTTAGCTGGCACAAAACTGACACCTTTATTCAAGGCATCATGTTTGCAATAACCACAACACAAAGCAGTCAAAATGCAAACAAAAGAGACAACTCTGATAATAATATGCACTGTCCTTGAATTTGATTGGTCCACACCCGAGACGGCTTTTCTTAGAGCCTAGTCTCCACTGATGTTGGACCAGAAGACGCCAAAAGGCGTACAACTCACAAACAGCGCACCATCAGGGAGTATTGAGGGCTCGGGGTAAACCTTTACATTATGAGACCTCCTTTGCCAGTAACAAGATATAGGAATAGGTTTTTACCCTTTTGGCTGGCACAACAAAACTGACACCTTTATACAAGGAATCATGTTTGCAATAACCACAACACAAGCAGTCAAAAATGCAAACGAAAAGAAACAACTCTGGTAATGATATGTTTGAACTTGTTAGGAACCGACCAAGCAGGGAAAATGGGGATAGGTTCATACGGTGACGTTTTGTACGTAATGTAATTTTTTCCCCCACCCCCCCCCCCCCCCCCCTGTAGCAGAGACGTCGACCCCGCGAACATCGCAAGGCGCGGAGGGAAACGCGTGGAGCTGGATGATGAAGACGCCTCCGTGCTGCCGCCCTGAGGGGACGGAGTTTGCGCCGAGGCCGTTGTTTTTCGACGGCAGCCCCCCGGGCAGGTCGCCGCAATCCGACGGCTTCCTCCGCTTCCCCTTCCCCGCCAAAGCCGCGGTGACCGGAGCCAGGAAGTGACCTCCCCCCGGTAACAACGCGAGAGTCCTTCCCTTCGCGCCCGCCTCCTCGCCCTCCAATGCGGTCGCAAGGGGTTCCCCAAAAAAAAAACTCGTGGGGAAAAAAAAACGACGCAAAAAGGACCTTGCCCACTGGCCTCACCGCTCATCAGATTCCTGTGGTCTTAACGCTGCCCGCAGGTCATCTGCCTACTACCCTGTGGCGCTTGGCAGGAGCCTCTCGTCGTCACCGCCAGTCGATTGCCTCCTCTGAGCGCAAACGGAATCCGAATCGGAAATATTTATTTACGCTGGAGGTAGGAATCCGACAAGCTGTGAAGCTCTTTTCCCACAGACTTCTGGTCGGGGGCCCCGGGGTAAAAACGTTACAGCGACAAACAAATACAAAAAACCACGTCGTGCACAAGCGTCACGGGGTCACGCGTGCGAGCGCGCGCCTCGTCGCCCCCGTCAGTTTGTGTTCGGAGAGCCGCTCGCTGGAGATTCTCACGCACGACGACGACGATAACGCCGCGTCATTGAGCTATCGTTTGTGATGGCCAGGTCGCTTATGAAATAGCTGCGTGGGTCGTGGGTCCTCGCCTGGTAAAATGAAAAAAAAAATTGTTGAGTTTAATAGTTTCAATTCGTTACTACTTTAGCGCACACCAATTGTGTTCTGAGAGGGCAAACCCACGACGTTGACAGTGGAGTTTGACGTCCCGCTTGGTGATTACCACCAGCGGCAGTAACTGAACGACCGCACTCCGTTCAAGTGACAAACGTCTCCCATTGGCCGTGCCGGGTGGGGCTCATAGCGTTACGTCACTTTCACATCCATCAGAAACTTTTGTTTATACTGGAGGAATCCGTGCAGCCCTACAGGAGGTCGTAGGTGCGATCCCAATTCTGACAGCTGCTGCCATATATTTGGAGCTTGCGTCTCTCTCACTCTCTCATCATCATCACCACAGTGGCTATGAGATGTTAACTACCTCGCTTGGTCTACAGGAGGTCGTGGGTTCGATCCCGACTCTGACAGCTGCTGCTATAAACCGTGGCCGATGAGCTCCCGCTTTCGACCCCGCCGATTTGCGTGCTGGAGAGTAAACCCATGACATTTACCGCTTGAGCACCGTTAATTTTTTCCAGCGGGTAGGTTACCAGGTGTCGTCGTTGGCGTTCGGGGGAGGGGGGACAGGCCGATGGTGGCGGCGCTCGTGACGGCACAGAGGGGTTTGCCGTTTAGAATCTCGCTGCGGCCGACCCGGGAGTTACCGTGGTGCGCGTTGTTTCTCAATGTTGTGTTGGAGTAAGTGCTGTTCACAAGAGGGAACCTGTTCCATTTGTTTTTCATTAAAAAGTTTAGGACTTTGCGGCCGCCAAAAACACTTCCTTTACATTACACAGACCACCCATACAGGTCGACACAACAACCGCCATTCGCCACTAAGTGGCGGTGACCTCACCACATCGCTTGTGCCAGGCTATGTGCATGTTGAGGCCACGTGAAGTGCCGAAGGCCCACTGGTAGGAGGTTATGGGGCAGACCCAGGTGCCAGGGGTCCACTGACTGAAATGAATGGCCGATGCACCACCTGTGCCCCGTACTGTGCCAACTTGCTGTGCTTCAGCCACCCAACTGCCCAGCAGCAGCATTCACGAGCCTCCTCCAATTAGGCCGATCTAGACACCACTGGTACCAGTCCACTCAGCTCCACATCCTCTTGTACCACATCACTCCATCTCTTCTCGTTTAGCCCCCTCTATTTGGCTGAACAAAAGCTGTTTAGGCATGTGGGCTACATGACCCAACTAATGCAACCTTGCCTGCCAGAGGAGCTCACCGATGGGATTTTGTCCAGATCTTTTAAAGATCTGTGAGCTCCTCACACAATCCAGCCTGGTTAAACCCAGGATGGATCGTAGGCAGGCCAGCCTAAATGTTTCTAACCAGGGAAGATTTTCCTTTAGGGGGGTTTACATTTGCAAGCGTAGAGAAGGGAGGGCATGACTGGCCGAGAAGATCCGAAGCTTCATAGGGAGTGACAGACCAGGTAGCTTTACGCAACTGATGGAAAGTTAATGCCGCTTGACTGATTCGGAATGAGACCTCTGTTGTCAAACCGGAGCTGGTCATGAGCACACTGCCCAGGTATGTAAAACTCTTCACTCTCTCCACAAACACAAAGATCCCCCATATAGCCTGAACAGGCCGGCATGGCACATGAAGGGGTGAGTGGCAAGCACAATGCCACGTCAGAATTGGGTATTACAGATAGGTAGCCTGCCGCCAACAAAAGAAAAGCTCCAGCAGAATTGCTTCATTATTTAGTTCTATCCATGGCTGGGTGAGCACGTCCCTACTTATCAAGCATTGTGCTCACCATTGTACCGAGTCACTTAAACGCAGGCGAGCTGCTGCTTCTCTACTGCATGAAAGTGACATGGCATGTTATCGTGAAACACCTCTATAGGCTTATCTTCCAAAGCCTCCAATTTGTGCGCAAGCTTTAACCCGCATTACATCGCCAATACTAACTAAAATAGCGCCTTCATCTACTGGCAGAAATTTAGTAACACGCTTTTCAAGATGATTACAAATCAGAACCTCTGAATGCGTGTGATCCAGCCACCGTTTAACGCACTAAAACATCACCTATTGATAATACTCATGTTTAGTTTCATATCGCGTCATCATTCATTGCAAATTGCATCTCACCATCGCTGAGGAACCTCAGGCATACAGGCTGTGAGCCAACACCAACAATTAGCCAAGCTCTGCAGTCCTCTGCAAATTAAGTTAATGAGTGTTGATCCCTCCAATTTGCACAATTGGCTCCGTACCGTGCAAAAGAAGTTCAACATACATGCATACAGAAGGGATCTACAATATTTAGTCTGCACTTTGCTGTACTGCCTTCTTCCGGCGTGCCGGGGAGTGGCACCTCCTCGACGTCCATGGGAAGGGATTTTCGCAAACGTGTGCGGTCCAGCCACCCTCACTGCCTCTGCGGTGCTGGATTAGAGGCTACATACAGCATAGCCATCACCACCAAGCTATCTGTGATCCCCGAGATGCCTTTGTCCGTCTCCAAATTACACGCACTTTGCCCGTCTTAATGCAATGGACGCCACAAATACAGACTCTGAAATATCGAATCTCACGAATGAGAATGCTTACCTACCCTGCTTGGTGGGTTAGCACAGGGGTCCCCAACCCCCTGTTAGGAACCGGGCCGCACAGCAGCAGGAGGTGAGCGGTGAGTCCGCGTGTGGCCCGCCCCCATTATTTTATTATTTACCACTTCCGTCCGCGCCTCTTTCCCGCACTGCGCACTTGTCTCAGTCACAGTGTTGGTATAAAGCCCACAAGCTCTAACCCCCTAGTAGCCACAATGTGTAATAAACAACGTCGCTGGAGAGCTTCTTTGAAAAGGGGGAAAGACCCAATGATGAACCCCCCCCCCTCCCCCGGTCCGTGAAAAAAATTGTCTTCCACGAAACCGGTCCCTGGTGCCAAAAAGGTTGGGGGCCGCTGGGTTAGCACATTCCAAATGTAGCGTAATAGCGCCGTCTGCTGACTGAAAGTGATAAATACAGTGTACGGCAGTACATACGTCAGCAGGCGACAGTACACATGGGGGGAAGACCACTAGGACAGAGTTCATGGCGCCGATGATGGCAGCCTCGGCCGGTTGGTGCGCCCTGTTTTGTCCAGTTTTGTCTTGAGAGGGGCTTGCTGTTCAACACACTCGTGCTGGTGAGAGAGGCCTGCTGTTCATCACACCCCGTGCTGGTGAGAGAGGCCTGCTGTTGAGAGGCATGATGTTCATCACACCCGTGCTGGTGAGAGAGGCCTGCTGTTCAGTACACCCGTGTTGAGGGGCCTGCTGTTCAGCACACCCTTGCTGGTGAGAGAGGCCTGCTGTTGAGAGGCCTTCTGTTCAGCACACCTGCGCTGGTGAGAGAGGCCTGCTGTTGAGGGGCCTGCTGTTCAGCACACCCGTGCTGGTGAGAGGGGCCTGCTGTTCATCACACCCGTGTTGGTGAGAGGGGCCTGCTGTTCAGCACACCCGTGTTGGTGAGAGAGGCCTGCTGTTCAGCACACCCGTGTTGAGGGGCCTGCTGTTCAGCACACCCGTGCTGGTGAGAGGGGCCTGCTGTTGAGGGGCCTGCTGTT